ACACCCGTCAGGGTGGGCGTCCCCACTGGGGTGCCTGGCCAGTCTGGGTGAGGGGCTGAGGGCTGTTTTCAGGCTGGAGGGTGACTGAAGCTTCCAACCACTCCTTTTTTTCTTTTTTTTTTAATTCTGGGCCAGCTTTAGCTCTGAGGCTCCAGCTCTTAGGCCTCCGCTGCTGAAGGTATCTGGTTTGTTTTGGTTCTTTAATCGAAACAATGTATAACTCCAGCTCTGACTCCAACTCTGAGATCCCAGCTCGCTGAAAGCTGGTTTCTGAGGTTTTTTTTAGCTTCATTATATTTGTTAAAATGTTTCAAATTGCAGGCTCAGAGGCCGGCAAGGCAGGCGGGGAACGTTGGAGTCCTCCGTCACTGAAGCAAGCTAGCCTCATGTTAGTTTCAAGCTGCCTGGCTGCCAGCCGCCATCTTGGCAGGCAATTGATTTGCATATCTCGCTGATTAGCCAATGGAAAGGGTAGAAGTCATACGCCAATTACCATGTTTCTCTTTTATTAGATAGGATTAGCATCCCCAGTATTTCAGAGAAGAAAAGTGAAGGTCAAAGAGATTAGGAAATTTGCCACAGATCAGATAACTAAGTATGTTACAGAGTGAGGATTTGAAAATATACTCTTAACCACCATACCACACCACTTTCCTTGATTCTTCTCTCTCTAGTGAAGAGGTTACACTATATATCACAGAGTTATTGGCACACAAAATAGGACTTGGTACATAAATAGCATGCTGCCTATACTGCAATAAGTGTAGGAGTATAAGTAAGTTCACCTTCCCCAACTTGTGCAAGGAATTTTGGGAACATTCATGTATTAAGCATTTAGTTTACAAATTTGACATTATTTAGGTTTCCTCTTATAATTTCCTCACCATTATAAGTTCAATGCCTTAAAATGGTTTGTGTATAAAATAAATGCATTTAATAGTTAACACAAAATATACCAAAATAACATGTAATAAAGAAGTAAATGAGGGGAGAAACCAAGATGGCGGCATAGGTAAACAACGGAAATTGCTGCCTCGCACAACCACTTCAAAAATACAACTAAAAGACAAAACAGACATCATCCATAACCACAGGAAGGCTGGCTGAGTGGAAATTCTACAGCTAGAGGAAAAGAGAAAAGCACACTGAGACTCAGAGGAGGTGCAGAAGTAAAGTGCAGAGGTATGGAGGCACACATGGAAAGGGCTGACAACTGAGGATAAGGTTGTCTTTTTCAATTGGGAGGGAGTTTCAAGCTCCCAACTGCTCTGAACTCTAGTTCCAGGCTAGTCTCTGGAGACCCAGATTCATACAGGGAGAAACTGGACTGTCTGGCATCGGTCGGAACTCGAGGGCGGCTTTCTCTCAGAGGTACTTGCAGCGATTACCAGGACACTGAGACATGGGGCCTCTTAGGGTAGGACTAAGAAGCAGCCATAGCTGTTTGCTTCGCCCTGTTGATTCCCTGAGACCCTGCCCCACCCAAGCTGTGTGCAGAGGCTTTTGCATATGAC